CCCCCACCCCACCCTCGTGTCAGACAACACAAAAGCTTTAACAGTTTGGCCTAAGCCATGCACATTTGATAGACAGCTATGTGAATCTTACAGAGCCTCAGTGAGTTTTAATAAACACCATTAATGACGTAAATAAAAATGAGAAGCGTTGACCTCATATAAGCCTAGTGAAGTGAAATAAAATGAATTGTTGATTAAAGCCACACTGCCACAATTTCTGAAGCAGAAAACCACACAACAAAAGCAACACTTGTTGAGACACGGTCTGTGAATCTGATAGTAGCAGTAGCAAGGGTTCCTCAGCAAGGGTTATATAGAATTTATCCCTTTTTGGTGCTGTGTTGAAGCTTTTTTTAACTTGCTACCTCTGCTGCTTAATTCTTCCTATTTAACTTCAATCCACAGTAAGCTCAGGTTAATTCTGGCTCAGATCAACAAGCTTAAGCCTTCCCCTTTAAACTTGGCTGTGTTAAAACGTGTACAAAGGAACAACCAGAGACAGAATAAACAGCCCCATCATCTGAAGTTCGTGGCCTGTTTTCAGCTGGAGAGCCCAACAGGACAAAACAAAGGTGAAGGTTAGACGGAGGCCAATTAACCGAACGACCATACTACTACAGCCAAGTGTCTGTTTCTTTTAAACAAGACTGTGTATGTTTCAAGCAAATAGTTTGATTCTTTACCACAATCAATTAACTAAGCTAGTTTCAGTTGTTATGAAAATGCTGTATACAGAATTGCCAATTATTATTATTAAATTAGGCAATTCTGTATACAGCATTTTCATAACAACTGAACCTAGCTTAGTTAATTGATTGTGGTAAAGAATCGAACTATGTGCTTGAAACATACACAGTCTTGTTTAAAAGAAACAGACAGTGTATGTTTCAAGCACATAGTTCAATTCTTTACCACAATCAATTAACTAAGCTAGGTTCAGTTGTTAWGAAAATGCAGTATACAGAATTGCCAATTATTATTATTAAATTAGGCAATTATTTTATGCTTTTTTAAGGTAGAACATAGTAAAAGAATGCCATTGTTAAGTGCTCTAATTGGCATCGACCTCCAGTTTAAGTCCCTTTTGAGCAACAAAACTTGCTAAGTTTTGAATGCTGCCATGTCCGTCACTGCATTCTGTAGCCTATATCTGATCAACAGTAGACTGGTCCTTGCCTTCCTATGCAGTTCCGCTCAATTCTAGTTTCCCTTCACTGCTCCGTCTGGGATTTCTCCCATTGACAAGGATTTCTTCGGGAGATTTTTCATCTGGGCCAATCAGAGAACAGAATGTCGATTTTCTGCGCAGTGTTTGCTTGTAGTTTATTTTACCTGGACCATCAGCAAACAGAAGGTGGAGTTTTGAACGACGTTGATTTTCTGCACAGTGTCTGCTATTTAGTTCAGCTCTATGGCAGTGGAGGAAGTGAGTGAAGCCAGTCTGTGTAGATAAGGCTTCCAAATTAAATTAAATTTGTCTGACAAAGCAGCAGCTCTCATTTACAGCCGTCTCATTCGGCTTGGTACTTCTCTCCTCTCAGTAGGGTTGTTTACAGCACACGCGATTTCCGGTTAGCTTCATAGCTTAGCTCCTTCACAACGACATACATCGTGGCCAACCAATCCAATCATTTTAAACTTCAGCAGAGGCCACGCCTCCAGCAAGAATCACTTCTCTATAGCCGAGAGTCCAGACCCTCGAATGAAGCAAAGCGAAGGACAAGGGTCTGGTTTTTACCAGGCTAGATCAATGGGAGTGAAAAGTCTGTTAGTTAATTAGTATATAAGCTTTGGGTGTCAGCTAAAGAGTTTACCTATAAAGCCAACAATAGTTGAAGTAAAACTAGCAGACTACCCTCATCTAAAAGGAATGAACTTAACCTGTCAAGTGTTAAATTAGAAAACTGACACATTGTTTTTGTTTGTGCATTAAATATGAAGTTACAGCAAGAGGTTAATTACCTCTACTATTCTAAAAGAAAACAGTAATAAGAAGTTAAACAGCCTCACTTTATTTAAAGGAAGTAATATTTAACTACAGTTCAAGCATCGCTGAACTCACCCCACAAATGTAACTGGATGCCCATCTACAACTGATTAACTTCTGGAGTTGACCTGATTCAAGGTGGTCACCACAGCTAATCAACATTAGCAAACACAATAAAAGCCCCACCCTGGAGCCAAGACTGGGAAAGGGGGTTACTGGCGAGGACCTAGTGACTAGGCCTCTAACTTTGGGGCCCAATCAAGCTCAGCCCAATTGATCTAGATGGTTTTGTCTTCCTGTGGGCCCACCACCTGAAGGATGGATCATAAGGTTGCAAAGCTTACTGTCCGGTATTTTTACCTGAGACTTTGAAAAACAGCAACCCAACCATACATTTAAACAAAGACAATCAGAGACCGGTAAAGTTTAAATGATACACTTTGCAAAGGGGAAGAAGTTCAGTGTACTTAACTTAAGTCAAGCTCAGAGAAGTTCTCCCAATCTTTGCGGATGTGATCTACCTTTATTCACACACGTAGAGATTACGACACAACAAGTCATATCCAATCATAGTACAATTGCTATGTCACATCATGAGCAGAAAGACCAATCAGAAACTGGTTGCTGGGGCCCATTGCAGCTGGACAAATAAAAAWWTTTTATCATGTTAGTCATAACAGTTTGTGAACTTGACTAAAACCTTGGATGTGTTAGAATATTTTGCAGTTAGATCGTTTGTCTACACTTATTCTGTTTGCACACTTTGTTAAACCTGTACACGCCATTAAACCTAAGAAGTTAGTCACGTACTGGAATCTTTATTTGGAACATATTAAAAACCTTATAAAAACCTTTTCACTTACCAAAGATGGCTATTGGGACATGGAATGTCACCTCACTGGTGGGGAAGGATCCTAAGCTTGTGTCTGAGTTGGAGAAGTAACAACTTCATGTAGTTGGGATCACCTCAATACACAGCATGAGTTCTAAAACCAATTTTAATAAGGAGGAGCTGAATCTTATTCCCATGGTGTTGYCCATGGTGAGAGGCACCAAGCGGKAGTGGGCCTATTTATAGCCCCCAGCTTGGAGCCTGTGTGTTCGAGTTTTCTTTGATATATAAGTTTTTTGTTTGTATGTTGTTGCTGTTTTTTATATGAAACCAATAATGATGTTCGCCAAGGACTTCACATGGTCTTTCATCAGAAATGGCTAATGTAGAGAAGAAAGACCAAAAAATAACATGGAAGATGCCAAAAAAATAAAAATGACCGGATGAGAGACTCCATAGCACCAGCAAGGTCATGTCCAGAGGGGTTTTAAGAAACTAGCCCACTGTAYGCTATTGACTAGCCCACTGATCCAAAGAAACACTGAGCTCTGTTGTCCAAGCCAGGGAGTGGTGAGTGTGGCTKTTCACTTTTGCATTCCTTCAATTACACACGCAGATGCTCACTTAGCRAACAGCACCATGTCCAGGCACCTACATGGACCAGCAGTGCCGCATGCAGTCACCCACATGACAAACTTATGTTGCCTTTTCTCCTTCATCAAGACTCACATGCACACAACAAATCCCTCCACCCCACTCCCAAACACACACAGATGCAGGCACAAACACAAGCTTTTTCCCCCCTTCTTTCCTCACAGCTGTGTTCAGATATCAAACAGAGCCCGYTGAGAGAGAACAAACACGCTGACGAGGAAAGATTAGCTGGTCACAGAGCTGCAGTACACACAAACTAACACACACATACTGTACAGCTAAGAGTTCTGTTGGAGGGTAAAACAAATATCAGTGATTTGTCATTAATTACAAAAAGTTACATGGACAGGCCCCAGAACACAGCAATGAAAGCCAAACCTAAGAATAAGGTCCTGTTTATACTTGAACAATCTTTGGAAAGCGTCTTTATTCTCAATATTTACACTGATATTACTGTGCTCGTTAAATCCATGGTAGTTTACGCACCGGGTCACTAGCTGTCATTTTGATTTTTGTTTTTCCAACGAAACATGCATAAACGCAAACATTTCAGTCTCGAGCATGTGAACAGTTACATCCAAAATGGTGATTATAGAAAAGTTCGTACTGTACTATGTTCCAGCTGGTGCTAGGTTAGGTTAGACGTGGCGCTATGACATCATCATTTTCAAAACATAGCACTTTGGCTGCCCACACAACACCAGAGACAAATGTCTTTTTCCCCCCACACTCTGGAACCCATTTTGTCAAAACTCTTCTAAAACAAAGTTTCTTTGTGGATGTAAGGTTGAAATTATATGCAAAAAAACTTTCACGTAAATTGCCATTCCTGAGTGCACGACCCTTAGTAGACTCTTCACCCACCATGACCGACAGTATAGTTTCACACTTTTATGCATAACATATTA